GATTTCTTAAGATTTCTGCAGATTTTTGAATAATAGAGATTGACCGGACTATAGCCTTTACATGGGCATTTGCACAGACTAAATTCATACCGGTCTTCAATGAGTTTGATAGTTGGAAACATTACAGTGATGACATTGACATTAGCAAATTGTATATTTAGTTTAACATTGTGTATGGTGGAAGTGAAGGCGTCAAATGTTTTTCAATAAGAGGAGGTATAACTTAATATATATATACTGTTGGAAGCAAACAATTAAATAAAAGTCATTGGTTGTAAAACTCCTTCATTCGCTCATAAGGTGAATTATGACCAGATTGTTAATGAACTATGGGAAGCCGCTCTTACTAAAGATGACAAAGTAAAATATGACACATCACCTGTGGAATGCTAGAACAATCACACAACACCGCACAGAAGAGTTACACTTTGAGGGAGGCATGCCATTACAAGAGGGAGTTTGGAGGAAGGATTTATGCCATACAACAGGAGGCATGCCATTACCAGAGGGAGGTTGGAGGAAGGATTTATGCCATACAACAAGAAATAAAAAAAATAAGAAACAAGCATGGGCAATACCTATTACATCTTAAACACCACCAATAGAAATAGATTAGTCAATGGGTTTAGATACAAAAAAGAGTTGCTACTTCAATATCATAACTGTTCAAAGTATGAAGCATATAATAGTAAACGGTTATAAAATGATATTGAGGTCTATTCAGTCAAGAGTGATGCCTTCACGATCCATGAAGACGATTTAACTAGAGTGATGGGCAAACCAAATGATTTTATAAAATCATACAGACTGGAATATTGAACCTTGAAGAAGGCATAGGCAACTGGAAACTGACAAACAAATCAATCAATTTTCCAACCAATAAATACATATTTAGATGATGATAATATGACCAATCTTTATATCTATAAGGCTTTAAACTTTACTGAGAAACATAAGGACAATGAAATCATCATAGGCGCCGGTGATTCAGAACCAATCAATGATTTAGCTAACACCCAGTCAAAGACCACAATATGGTCAAAAATGTGCTGTTCAATTTGTGCCCTGAAATCTCACCAAATAATTGCAAATACCAGTTGTGCCCTGAAATCTCACCAAATCATTGCAAATACCAGTGAAATTGTCTAAAAGGTAGGATTGGGGGGGGTGTAGCATATATTATATATATGTTGTTTGTTTGTTTGATTATTTTGGTGTCCATCTGAGGCACTTCCACCGAACGAGCGCTTTCTGTCAGAGACGAAAAAGGCTTTCGCTACCCAGCCAGGCAATCCCCATGGTTGGGCTGAAGGGATGATGACCGAATGATGACCTGAGTGTGGCGTTCTTGTCGCGCGCTCTTCCGAGGTGCTTTTTCATAGGGTTGCTCAGGGTGGTGGGTGCTTAGTCAAAAATGGCTGTAAATGCGCGTGCAAAGGCCCACGAACGGATTGCACAAGCTCTCTCCAGAATTTCAAAATGCAAATCGACTGTGCAGGGTCACATGATCGGCCCGCACGTGTTTCAGAGCCCCCGTGCTCTCGCTGCCATCCTCATTCTTGGAGCAGAAGATCGAAGGCAGCCGCGCTGTCTACCGAATACCCATTCTTTTTCGTCCTGCATCTTCTCGAATCTTGCCTCTTTTCGCATCAGCTTTCTGAGCCCTTTCACGATGTTTATTGGCACAATCACACGGTCGCAAGTTTGAGGCCACCATGAATTAGAACGGTCATCACAGCACTTTTGAGGCTGACTGGTTCTACATAAAATCCACACAATGCCACGCCTGCCGCAAAACTTGGTGAACTTTGCATGTCAAAGTCCACAAAGCGAGGTGCCCATCATGAAATCCAAATGTTCATTAATTTCAAGCCTCAATTACTGCTTCGCTGGCCACCAACCACAGGTGCTGCACCTGCCACGAACTCTGAAGTTATAGGTCCGCAAAGCGCTGCATATGCTAAGTTTTTCAGGTTTCAAACCTCCCTGCCACAATACGAAGAATTCCAGAGGGATAAGTGCAACTCAAGAAAGATAATCAATCATGTTATGTGCTGTCAATTGCAAGGCGGCCCGGCACCCTTTGATCGTGTTCCTAGGCCTGTCGCTCAGAACCTCACAGTGGGATGTCCCACATAGTGGCCTATTGCCTATTGAGTCAGGGCTATTGCCTTCAAAGTTTGTTTTCTCAGAGAGCAATAGCATGTGAGCGTGAGCTTCTTAGGCACTACGAAGAGTTCACGCGCCATTACGACGCGGTGAAGGTGACAAGGCTGGGTAGCCTCGCTCAACTCTTAAGATTGGTTTACATGCGCCACCCAGACAGATTTAATCCACCACGTTATTGACATGCTGCTGGGGCGCAGCTGAGAAGACCCCTGCAGCCAACCGACCAGTTTTGACACATTGTTCCACAATGTGAACTTAATGTGAACCATAGTTAAGAGTAGGAGCTCTAGATATTTGCCAATCCATTTTGTCAAGGATATGCCCCAGTTGAAGTACAATGCCTGGAGCTGCAAAGACCTAGCACATTCACCATGCAAACATAGTGTGTCTTTTTTATGTGGGGAATCTACGGTCCAAACTTGCAAGATCAGAGACCAAAACGCAGAGATCTCGCACAGACTCACATCAACTCACGCGGGAGAGGCATCGAAACAGGAACAAATATATAGGGATTTCAAGAAAGGCAAAACTAGAAGGAGAAACAAGGAAGGGAGGAGGGAAGGGAAGGGAAGGGAAAGGAAGACAAGACAAGACAAGACAAGATAAGACAATATGACAATGGACGGTCTGAAAGGTTTCTCTGCATGGTACCGGGATCCGATTTCAATCTCTGGACGCACCAGAAGGCCATGGGGAGGAGGCGCTGCGCCCTCCCCCCAACCCTCCTCCCCTCCTCCAGCGCAACGAACTCTGCATCTAAGAAATTAACTGCCTCTATTGGGCACTAGTACTAGCACTAGTACTACTGATGCTACTTCTACCACTACCACCACGACTACGACTACTACTACTACTACTCCTACTCCTACTCCTACTCCTACTGCTACTGCTACTGCTACTGCTACTACCTACCTACCTACCTACCTTCCTACCTACCTACCTACCGTACTACCGTACTACCTACCTACCTTACTACCTACCCACTACTACCTACCTACTACTACCTACCTACTACCTACTACTACCTACTACTACCTACTACTACCTACTACTAC